CTCTCTCTCTCCAGAGTTTCTCTGTGTAGCTCACTCTGTAGACCAGCCTGGCCTCGAACTCAGAAATCCACCTGCCTCTGCCTCCCAAATACTGGGATTAAAGGCCCGGCAGCTGGTCTCTTATCTATGTGGCTTCAAACTAGTAACTCTCTGCCTCAGTCTCCTGTGTACTGAGATTATAAATGTGGATTATTACACCAGTCTCTGAGTCTAGATACTTGTAGTTTTACACGTGCACACAAACACCATGTGCTAGGATTATAGAGATCACAGATTTGCTCTACAGTTCACGTTTCCTCCAAATCATTTTTTAGTATTTTAAAATTTGTTTTTAGGTTTATTTCACTTTTATATGTATGTCTGTCTTATTTGCATTAATGTGTGCACACAGAAAACATGCCTGGTATCTGTCGAAGTCAGAAGAGGGCTTTGGATACCCTGGAGCTGGCATTATGGAATGCTGTTTGCAGGCATGTGGGTGCTGGGAATTGAACCTGGGTCCTCTTTGAGAGCAAGTGTACTTGACTGTTGAGTCATGTCTTTAGTCTCTCACAAAGGTCTTTCACTGATGTTTTCAAATCCCTCTGTTCCAATTGTCATTGATAAGAAGACCTATGTAGAGACCAATTAGCCATAGACTATCAGCTTGACTCTGGGGGTTGGAGAGAAGGCACAGTAGTTAGAAGCACAGGCTGCTCTTCCAGACCTGCCTTCCACTCTCAGCACTCCCACAGTGCTCACAGCTGTCTGTAGCTTTGGTTCCCGGGGATCTGACACCCTCACACAGACATACATGCTGGGAAAAACACCAACACAGAGAACATTTATAAAAAAAAATGGCTGGGCAGTGGTGGCACAGGCCTTTAATCCTAGCATTTGGGAGTCAAAGGCAAGCAGATCTCTTGAGTTCAAGGCCAGCTTGGACTACAGACCAAGTTCTGGGACAGCCAGGGCTGCACAGAGAAACCTGTCTCAAAATAACGAAACAAAACCACAAAGAATATCATTTTGACTCTATGACAGCATCAGGATTCAGAAACTCTAGTCTGATGCTTTGGAGGGTAAAGGTACTTGCTGACAGTTTAAGTTTGATACCAGAGGCACATTTGTGGGCATGCCCACAAGCACAAATAAATGCAAATTTAAAAAGGAAAGAGCCAGGGGTGGTGGTGCAAGTCTTTAATCCCAGTGCTTGGGAGACAGAGGCAAGTGGATCCCTAAGTTCAAAGCCAGCCTGGTCTCGAGTTCCAGAACAGCCAGGGCCACACAGAGAAACTTTTTTGGTTGGGGAATGGGGTTGGGTTGGAGCTGGAGAAGAAGGAAAGAAACTAAACCAAAATAGTTAGGGTGTCAGGGTGCGTTCCTGAAGGGGGAAAAAAACCCCACAGGTTTGAGAGATGAAAATAAAGGCCTGCTCCTGCTGGTTGCAAGTTCTGGTAATAAAGCAGATGGGTGTCTTCTCATGTTCATTAGAGATTAAGTATTTGTGTAATATCACATTCCTCCTTGGATCTACAGCTGAAAATAGAAGTCTCCACAAGAAAAGGTCAGGGTCAAAGCTTATTATTGAATCTAAATTACAAGGGAGACAAATATGGCCTCATTCCTTGAGACCTCAACAGGAACTAGGTGTGCTGGCATGCCTTTAATCCCAGCCTTTGGGCAGATCTCTCAGTTCAAGGCCAGCTAGTTTAATATTGTGATCTAGTGCACTCTAGCAGGAATGAATGTGTATAATTCTTGGAATTTTGTTTGGCTACCTTGGTACTGAACTTGAGCAGCTAATACAGTCAATGAAACAAAGCACCTGCCCTGCCTGTGTCATCTCGATGCAATTGAGAAAATGCTTCCATAAGATCAGGCTGTAGGCAAGCCTGGGGTGCATTTTTTTAATTAATGATTGATGGGGGAAGGCCAAGCCCATTGTGGGTGGAGCCATCTCTGGGCCCTTTGGCCTGAGGGGGGTGGGTCTAGAAAGCCAGGTGAGCAAGCAGCATTGCTCCAGGTGAGCATCTGCATCAGCTCCTGTCTCCAGGTTCTTGCCCTGTTTGAGTTCCTGTCCTGACTTTTGATGATGAACAGTGATGTGGAAGCATAAGCAGGATAAATATGTTCTTTCCAAGTTGCTTTTAGTTTTTCTTTATAGCAATAGTAACCCTAGTAAGACAGCACCCCTCTTATCTGAATGTTTGCAAACTGGGTGTGGATCATATACCTGTAACCCCGGTACTCAAGAGATTAAGGCAGGACACTTGTTACGAATTTTGGGCTAGCTTGAATGACACAGAGGCTCTGTCTTAGAAAACCAAACCCAACCTAATTAACCCCCCAAAACCATTCTTGCTGATGTCTGGGTTATTAGACATTCCTCTTCTCTCCCCTTGGCTCATTGTAATGCCTGTAATCTCACGATTGGGGAGACCCAAGAATCAGGAGCTCCAGTTGGGGGCCATCCTTGGCTGCATAGCAAGACCCTTTCTCAAAAGGGGGTTGAGGCTCGGGAGCTGGCTCAGTAAGAAAAGGTATTTGCTATGCAAGCTTGCTTACTTAATTTGAGTTCCAGAATGCATGTGAAGTTGACATGACAAAAGGCCTCTGATTTCTACATGTGTGGCCTGGCATGTGTGCCTACACATACATCTTGCCCACAGGTACATACTAATAACTAAAAATGGGGAGGGGTGGAAATGCTTTTCAGTTGGTAGAGTGCTTGCCTGGCACGCACTGGTTTTAGGGAGGTATGCTTGCGATCTGAGTACTCTGGAGCTAAGCATGGAGATCTGTGCTACTCTGCAGTATTTTAAGAGCCCTTTGCATCCGGACATGATTGATGTCTGAATTATGGAAAAAGCAAAAGGGCCGGGAGGTGGTGGCACACGCCTTTAATCCCAGCACTTGGGGGGCAGAGGCAGGCGGATTTCTGAGTTCGAGGCTGGCCTGGTCTACAGAGTGAGTTCCAGGACAGCCAGGGCTACACAGAGAAACCCTGACTTGAAAAAAACCAAAAAAAAAAAAAAAAAAACCCAAAAAAAAAACAAAAAACCCAACAAAACAACAAAAAAAAGCAAAAGGTTTGAACAATAGTAACACATAAAATAATCAATCACCTCACCAAGCATGAAAGCATCTGCCTGTGTATGGAGTGAGATCCTGTTTCAAAACTCAAGTAAAACCTAAACACCCGCCCCTTATTCTTTTCAATATATTTCATATATTATTATTTTTTGCATGTGTGTATGTATGCATGCCATAGTGTGTGGAGAGGTCAGAGGGTAACTTTGTGGAGTTGGTCTCTCTTTCCACCCCTATATGGGTTCAGGGGATTGAACTCAGATCAGCAGGCTTTCATGCAAACACCTTTACCCTGGGTTCAGTTGAATCAGAGACTCACTCCCTAGGCTGGCTTGGAAATTGCTCTGTGCTCCAGTAGCTTAGGGCTGGCCTAAAATTCAGTTATCCTCAAATTTCAAGCTCCTGAGTGTTGGCATTCCAATGGCATTCCAGGTGTGCACCAGCCCCTCCCACGCTAACCCAGATTCAGTTCTCAACCGTTACATGTTGTTTCTTGGGAACAGGATTGGGAGGACATAGCTGAGATAGGCAAAAAGAACAGCTTACATTTTTATTCTGTCTTCCCCTATTCAGTAGGAATTTATCTATGCCTCACCCCCAAGGCAGAGAAACTCCTATCTCTTGAGTGTTCTCTAATCCCAGGGACTTTTTTGTGTTCTTCCCATATTTGATTTTAGGCCCTGTGACTTTTGTATAGGATTTTTGTTGTTGTTGTTGTTTGTTTGTTTTTGAGATTAGTCTGCCTATGAAGCCCTGGTTTACACCAAACTCAATTTGTGACGATTCTCAAATGTTTTCCACCATGCCAGACTGAAGCACAGATTGCCTCTTATAAGCTGGTTTTTGGGGGCTAGAGAGATGGCTCTGTGGTTAAGGGCACAGTCTGCTCTTCCAGAGGTCCTGAGTTCAATTCCCAGCAACCACATGGTGGCTCACAACCATCTGTAATGGGAT